ATTAAGTCAAGAAAATCACATTAAGGATTAAAAAGACAATAAAATACATTATTTGTGGATGATATAGAAATCCCCAAAGAATCTCACAATGAATAATGAGATATAAAAAATTTTGTTAAGATCAATATAGAGATTAAATTTCATTTCTGTATACCAGAATATGAAAAATCATCATTAAAAAAAATAATGTTGATATTATTGATTTAAACAATCACAAACCATGAAAGTTTTAGGAAAAATTTAGCAATGTAAAAAATATATACATTCAAAATAAAATTTTAGCAAAAATATTAAATATCTAAATGGAGAAACAGTCTATGGACTATGAATTATCTATGAATAGATAATTATTTTTCCAAACAGCTTAATTTGCTCAAAATTGATCTATAGATGTAGTCAGTTACAGTCAAAATCCCAAAAAAAGGTTTTTCATAGAACTTGAGAAGTTGATCCTAATATGTATGGAGGAACCAAGGGCCAAAGATAGCAAGATCCACCCCCCAAGTACTGGGGCTCAAACCCAGGGCCTCACACCGAGCTATGTATGCCCCAGTCCTTTTTTTATTTTGAGACAGAATTCACCAGGTTGCCCATCCTGGAGTTGAACTTGTGATCCTCCTGCCTCAGTGTCCCAAAGTCCTGGGATTACAGAAGTGCACCACCACGCCTGGCTAATAACAAAAAATATTTTTGAGGAAGAAAAGTGATTTAGTGAAGCAGAAGCTTTTTCAAATAAAGTTAGAGTGACTAAGGTAGGGTGATACCAAAGCAGGAGTAAATGAACTGCCCAGTCAGAGCGGGAAGCCCAGAATTAGTTAAACCTAGGCATATTTGAAATTTTAAGACAGGCTGGAAATAGAAATGTGGGGAAAGGAAAGACCAAGGCTGAAAAATTGGTTATCCATATGGCAAAAATGAAACCAGATCTACTTCACACTGTACACAAAGATCAAACCTAGAAGGCTTGGGATCCTAGATGCCATAAACAAACGTAAAATCTTCAAAGGAAAACAAATGAGTATCTTTCTGGCTTTAGGATAAGGAAGCATTTCCTAAACAAGACACAAAAATGTGCTAAGCATTGAAACAATATTCACTGTTTTGGATACATTTAAAGTAGTCATCAAAATGTGTCAGTAGAAGACACTAAAGAAAACAGGAAAAATTACAATTCAGCCTTATTACAGAACAAAGCATTAGCAAGCAGACAATAACAAGGATTCCCACAAACTAAGGACTGAACTGCAAAGCATTCAAACAGGCATTAAGTAGAGGAAGGGATACATAGAGCTGATAGAAAAGAAGCCTCTTCAACCTCGTTATCAGAGAAATGTAAAACAACACGCAGAGACAGCAACTTCCGTGTATTTATAAAACTTCAGAAAGCTGACAGTATAAGTGAGGAGGGAATGTGAATCCGTGTAATGACATTTCTGGTAAGAGTGCAAATTACTCTAATCCCTTTGGAAGATCACAAATCGTCATCTTGTAAAGGTGTTCCCAAATTCCACATCTAGATGTTTACCCAAGAGAAACTTTACACCTGTGTAATAAGAGATGGGCGGATGAGTGTTCATAGCAGGAAATACCTCCTTAGAAAAACAAATGGAAACAACCCAAGTACCTATTGGCAGAGTCACACGATGGGCTACAAGAGAAGTAGGAATTAGTGAACTACAACTTTACTGACAACACAGATGTCCAGAGAAATGCTGAGTGAAAAGAGGGAGCTCAGAAAACTAAACATAGCTTGATACGACTTTTATTAACTGAGGAAACCTAATTATGTATTGTTTAAGTGTTCCAGTGTATTTTGCAAGTATATTTTTTAAAAGCAATGGAATAAGCCAGGTGTGATGGTGCATGCTGTAATCCCAGCACTCTGGAGGCTGAGGCAGGAGGATCACCATGAATTCAAGGCCAGCGGAATGACATAGTGAGACCCTGTTTCAGAAAAAA